GCCCCGTCGAGCATCCCCTGGGATGATCCCAACGAATGCTTCATGTATCCCGCACCCCACTCGACGACGCCTGTCAGGTATAGCGAGCAGCTACCCCTCGAGCTGACGGTCGAGCACATCCATAAAACCATTCGTGATTACTGCTCGGCCGCAAAGACGGCCATGGAGCTTGGGTTTGATGGTGTAGAGCTTCACGGAGGCAATGGTTATCTGCCAGAGCAGTTCCTAAGCTCCAACATCAACAAGAGAACAGACGAATACGGCGGCTCGCCGGAGAAGCGCTGCAAGTTCGTCTTTGATCTGATGGCCGAGCTGGCCAAGACGGTGGGAGAAGACAACCTGGCCATCCGCCTGACTCCCTTTGGTCTCTTCAACCAGGCTCGCAGTGAGCAGCGTCTAGAGACTTGGGGCCATCTATGCCGCGAGCTGAAGAAGCGTCACCCCAACCTGTCGTACGTGAGCTTCATCGAGCCACGATATGAGCAAATCTTTTCCGAGGCGGAGAAGCAACAGTTCCTTGACTCCTGGGGGCTTCCCGACGTCGACCTCACCATGTTCCGCAAGATCTGGGGAGACACGCCTTTTTTCTCTGCCGGCGGCTTCGACCAGTTCAATTCGTGGGGGGTCTTGGAAAGCGGCAGATACGATGCCCTGCTGTACGGCAGATTCTTCATCAGCAATCCGGATCTGGTGGAGAGACTGCGCAATGGCTGGCCTCTTGCCCCGTACGATAGGTCTCGCTTCTACGGTCCGTTTGAAGACCCGACCATCGGCTTTACCGACTACCCGGCGTATGATGAGAAGCTTTGATTGCACGTAACGTCTAGACGTCGCATGGGGCCGTTGGTAATTGTAAATTGAGCACATGACACATGTTTGATGGTGTAGTAATGGATGTATACCATGGAGACGATGGTTTGCCTGGGGTTAGCTGTTAGCGTTGTCTATGAGCAATTTCAAGTCGCAATGATGGTATTTCTGTACATGGAAATTCGTGACGATACCACTGACCGGGTTTCAAGTCTTCACGCAACTGCCGCGGCCAGAGTCAGCTGAATATATTGCGAGTCAGTGCAGCGGAGCAGCCACATGTTTTTCCGTTTTTCCCCTGCTGAGGGTAGGGTTTCACGGTAGCCAGTAGAAAACGGCAGCGGATGCCCGTCAATCTGTGCCCGTAGCATACCCATATCGAGGCCATTGCCGAGGTCCAAGATTGGCTGAATTTGCGAGCGGCTGAAGACTGTGAAGAAGTGATCTGCAGGCAGCCCGCTCGTATTGAAATTAAAGCGCGGACTCGGACGGAGTCATCGGGATCTAAAGGCGGTTGTCAGGTCCACATCGAGGCAATGGATGACAGGGATCTACCTTGAATAGCAGGGCTCGAGCCATGCTTGCGCAGCTAGAGGTATCCATAGAGGATCGCCCAGCCGACGTTTGACAAGGCCGCATAGGCCGATATAACGGTTCTCTCGGCCGCAGTAAAGGGATCTTTTTTGGTGCGACGATTCAGCCTCAGGTTTGCCGAGTGCAGTACGAGTATGTATCCATATGCATATGCTCAATGCACGCTCCAGACTTGATAGCCATACTTGTACGCTGGATTGTCGATGTATCGTAAATGATTGATCCATGAATGCACAGATGCCATTCTCCACGATTGCCCCCCCCAGACAGTCAGCTCGTTTAACGGCAGCATGACGCCTGTACCATCAACTGAGACATGCTCAACGTCAGCTCGCAAGATGTCTCACGCCTCAGTTAAGCCACCTAAAAGGGGCGCTGTGAGACAGGGCGTCGAATATCAGGATAATACCGGGTAGCCGCCACGCTATCCGCGCTCGGCTCTTCGCCACATGTCAACGTGCCGAATCTGAGCTCGCCAAATGTCAGACATTCGAGTGAGTGAAAGACAAGCCAGCAAGGAATGATGTGTAACCATGTCATGGGCAAAAGAGGTCGGATTGAACCGGAGCTGGGCAAAGGTAAAGGAAATAGAGCCGGAGGAGAACGGCGGGTAGTCCGACCATCAATTGGAGTGTTGCACAGTCGTTCCACGCTGTATCAAGGCGCAGGCAAAAGAGTGACCTGATTTATTTCAACTTCAGGGCGTTTCGGATCCGCCAAGGGATCAAAATGTACTGTGTTGTGTCACCGAAGCGTTAGCCCAGGGGGATTCGGGAATCGGGGGCGCGGATTGATCGCGGGTGGCGGCGCGGATCGAGCGTTTAGACTCGCGGAAAAGGCTTGGCCGGCGAAAACTCACCGAGCATCCCAACATCCCTAAAGGCTATGCAGTGTTGCCTGTACTGGCTGCATGGAGATGTTGAATGTTGGCTGATATGGAGAGATAATGTCAAGTGTTGGTTGGACGGAATCACCAAAGTCATTGATCTCTTCGCGGCTGCACGTGAGGCTTCTCGCGTGGCTGCCTACAAGGTGCAAGTGCTAACCTACAGGCGCACATGTTTGCAAGAGTCATATTGGATGATATCAGGTACTGCCTCCTCCAGCCTCGGTTCGAATGATATATGACATTTGAACAAAGGGATATTGTTGTAGGCAGCAGCAGTAATCATTTGTGTTGGTGAATACTCATGATATCTCCATGCATCAAGCAAAATGTAGATGTAGAATATGGTTACACAAGAACCTCAATATCAAACCCGATATCGCTGATCTGCTGCCAATCGTTTCCCCAAATCCACGATAATCCTCCCCAAATCCTGCCATCCTTGCAACACCCATCAGGGTCCTTCGAAAAAAATCTTTAAAAAACTTCTTTACAGAATTTTCTTCTTTGTGCAAACGTTCAAAACTTCTTTTGTCGCCGGCTCCGCCACATGAAAAGCGTTTCTTTGACGTCAGGCGACTTTTGCCCTTCCCATCAGGCGCACCGCCGGACTCGCCCATTGGCCCGCGTGACGTCAGGAGGTCCCAAACCTTGCAAACCCCCTGTAGCCTCTCAGCGCCTCCGGATCGCTGGAAACCCGCTGCACCATCGCTGTAGGACCCAGCCGGGCGCGTCTATTGGAAGCTTGGAGGCCTGATGCGCTGCAAGTCCACCATCGTTCCCTGTAAGGCTTCTGACCTGCAGAAGTCAGCGGGGCTTATCATTGCCGTCCAACCTCAGACATCGGATGCATGTTGACGGCATCACCCTTCCGGCTTATACATAAGCAGGGCAACACCCTTCCTTGATCCCGCTCTCGGTTTGAGAATGTTTTGTCTTTTGCTTTCCTTGAGAACTTCCTTCACCCTGTAACCATTCGTCTATCCACCCTTTCCCACGGATAGAGCTACAGCACAGCTTCAACACCATGCCCAGCTACCCCTCGTCACGCCCGGAGCCCGTGCAAGGCCTCAATCACTCATACTACAACCCGGACGAGACCTTTGACTCATATCAAGACCCTTCATCGTCTCGTCGCCGATCAGATAAGGGCCGCCGACCTCCATCTCCCGCCTATTCACCCGACGACGACCGCAAATCCCGGCGCAGCAGCCGTCGCAACCCGTCACCCGGCTATGGAGATGCAAATGCGAAGCCATCCGGTAGCCGTCGACATCCAAACCCGCCGCCCTTTTCTGCGCCCTCTCCTCCGCCTCAGCGAGACTCTCGCTCATCCCGCCGTGACCGCGACACTTATTCGCCGAGGGACTCACCGAGAGATTCGCAGCGAGATTCACAGCGAGATTCGCGCCACCGAGATGCTGACCGGCGCTCACGAGACTACCCCCCTCCCCCGTCAGATCCACGTGAGCGGCGTCACAGGTCCTCGCGCCGTGAGCCATCTCCAGAACCCCCACGCCGGTCTCGATATGACTCTCCAGATCCCAAGAGCCGTTCTTCACGCGGCTACCCAGCACCCTCGTCCGATGACCGAAACAGCAGGGACCCTCGTTCTTCTCGCCGGTCCCATGGCGGAGTAGAATCACCACCCCAAAAGTCATCACGCTCTCGCGGCGATGACGACCGAAGAGATGACCGGGAGCGACGACATCGCTCACAGCCTCGCGACACGGATGCCGGCCACGCCTCAAGTCGCAGCCGAGACCTAGAACGAACCCGGGATAAGGACCGGGACCGGGATCGGGATCGAGGCCATGATCGCGGCGGCCGTGACCGTGACCGTGCAGCACCCAGCAGCGGCCGCTCCTCACTCAAGCGCCGCAACACCATGCCCGCAGCCGCCAGCTCGGGCCTCAAGCTTGGGGGCGGCTCTTCCTGGTGGAAGAACCCAGTGGTTCAGGCCGGCGCTCGCACCGCTTTGGCTGCTGGTGCCCAGGCCATTATGCAGAACCGCAAAGAAGCCGGTCCTTGGCTGGGCGCAAAGGGAGCCAAGGTCGCCACGGCTGCTCTAACGGCTGCCCTGGCTGATGGATTGGCTGGCGGCGGCAAGAAACGTTGATGAATTATCTGTTTAGGGATGACGAGTGTCCTCTTTTCTTTCTCTCTCTCTCTCTTATTTGTTCGGTTATGCGTAACGATGATGACGACGGCGGCGGCTTGCTTTTTATCTGATGAAATTTGCAACTTGGTTCTACTTCCTTTTTCTTTGCCTACTTAGACAAGGGATTGCTTGTATTCAACGGATGACCTTTCACCTCACGACGATACGAATTGACAGAAATTATGGCGTTAACGGAGCGCCCCTGTTACCACTAGTTTTGTTTTATGCTGCTTTTCTCTTTTGTACGATATCAAGATAGATGGTCGATTTCCATGGATGTCTACCTCCTCCCTCACACAACATTTATGCCGTGGCATAATGTTCCTTTGCTCACGATGACTTTGACGAATTCTCTCATCATCCTTAGCCAAATCCACTTTCCACTTTCGGTATATAGATATAATAGGGTAGCTCATACCAATTATTCTTATCAAGTCTTCTCCCACTTACACGTGAAAACACAATCCGACAACATCGCAACTCTGCCTTGCCCTCTCCTTCGTCCTTGAGTCCCAACAACCGCCATCTCGCCCATCATCATCCATCAAAGGCACTTTGGCCGAGCGGTCTAAGGCGCCGTGTTCAGGATTTCATCTTGCTTCGCGGTCTAGTAATAGGCGAGGGTTCGAATCCCTCAGGTGTCATTTTTTGTCTTTTTGCACTACTCTTTTTTGTCCTTGTTGCTTCTGGTCTCTGTGTATATGAACAACTTAAAAAGTTTCTCATTGATAGCATTATAATCATATACAAGCGAAAGCCACATCCAACAAAAATATCCCAATCATCGCCATTATAACCATGTCCATACGCATACACATTGCAGATACCAGTCCCTTCAATCGTGATTCAAGGCTCAACTTTTTCACAACTCAACTCTCTTACGCCTGAGAGCCAATGTTCCAAGGCTTGCACTTAGACGCAATGCACATGCCATTGCAGCAAGCTCCAACGTACTGACCGTCCGGACCGAAGCAAGAACCTATTCATCACCAATTAGCAAACAAATATTACAACCACAGACTATCCTTCATCCACAAAGCTTACCATAAGTCTCAACACAAGTTCCCTGGCAAGAAATGCTGGTGACCGCCTGCGGGGGATCAATCACGACCTGCTGTGTCACACCATCGGACGCAATGGTGCTGCTCAGGTTCTTCGGGCCGGGAGTCTCAATCACACAGGCCTGGAGAACGTTGAAGTCGGGGGCGTCAATCACCACGATCGGGAGGGTGCTGTATGTCAAGACGGGCTTGCCATCGGCCGGAACAGTGAGAGGGTAGGAGTGATCATCGCCCTCCGAACGGAGAGTGACGTGAGCAGTCTGCACACTGTCCTGGGCCAGAGACAAACCCGCAAAGAGGCCAACGGCAACGAAGGAGGCGAAGAACTTCATGTTCAGTGATGAAAAGTCGTTGATATGGTGATGATCGAAATGATGGAGTGTTTCGTTTCAAAGAATTGATTGCTTGTTTTCTGCTGTCTTCTTCGGATCGTCTTTCAAACACTGGTGGCATCACTCGTTTATATATTCTTGCTGCACCCTCCTCTTCCAGCCTAGTCCGGTAAGCAAACTGACGATCTTTCCGCATCTCACTCTGTGTCTTTCAGGGTCTCGACGTCATTCGCCCCCTGATGCGAGCTCGAAATACGAGAAAAAAAAGAAGAAAAAGAAAGTAATCAAGAAGCGGTCAATGCAATGCGCCTCTGCTGTTCTCGTGATGTTGGGATCCATCTGCAGTGCCTGATGAGTAAACTTTGTGCTGCTTTCTACGTTTATGCTTCCTTCATTCGTGAAACTGAAAACAAGGTTGACAATAAGTCTAATGCAGTAATATTCCTGACTCATCCTTCTGCCGATGAGCCGAGCCGCATCTACACCGGTATCAACAGAATGGGCCCTGATTCGTGCATTTACTTGTATCACTCCCGGTATTTTTGGTAGTCTTTACTCCGTACTGACACGTCTGAACTACCATTCCGAGTCTTGACAAGACTAGGTAGTGTACTTGTTTCGATTCCATAAAGCTCGTGTATGCAGGAAGCTGGCGGGAATGCCACGCAGCGGAATCTGATTAGATAGATCTGCTCTTTGGCTTGCAAAACGGGGAGTTGCAGGGCCACCCCCGTGTGAGATACTAGTATCCCCTGACTTGGCACTGCCGATGAGCCGGAACACGAGCAATGCGCCCCTTCATGTACATAATACCACTGATCCGAGATCCGTGCTGCATATAAGTTGCGGCTGTCTGAGTTGTGCTCTGTCTTGACAATGAGACAAAGAAACTCCAAGCGGTCAAGTCCCATCGCCAAGACTTGGATACGGGTAACTCGTCAAGGGTCAGACAGCCTCGGGCATTTTCCCACAAAAAGACATCAACAGCTTCATAAAACATCAACCACAACCTCACAGAGAAATGCCGATGATGATACCGCCAAAAAGGAAATGTCACAGAAACCTGAGAGAAAAAAATTGACCGAGACAGGGGTCGAACCTGCAACCTCCTGATTTACTTAATCGTAGTCAGACGCTCTGCCATTGAGCCACACGGCCTATTTGATTGGCAATCCGGAAGCATATTTTAGCCTATGACGGAATGTTGGAGTTGAAAATTTCGCGCAAACCCGCAAACTTCTGGATCTCACGGGAAATCGATATTCCATTCCGAATTGTCGGCTTTAACCCTTACAGTTGTAAGTTGTAAGACATGACAGATTCTCCACATTATTCCACAGGCAAGATGATTGGTTTGCTTTGTTCACAAGCACAATGTTGTCTTTGCATCTATTCTGTAATATGAAACATTCACCAGGAGGCAATGTAGACCCTCCCCTCGTAAGGTCGCAAAACTCCTTCATCAATCTTGCCGTCATACGAAGACATGATTGGCACAAACTTGACGTCGGCTCCCTCTTCAATTTCTAGCTCCTCAATCGTGGGCTTTTCCCAGTTCCTCTCCTCGCCAGTAAAGTTGAACGCAGCTACGGCCTTGGCTGATCCATTTGATGGCGGCTCCTTCACAAAAGTGTAAATACTCTTGTCCTCCTCCCGTAGTGTTCGATAGTCGCCATATACGAGCAGATCGGCATACTCCTTTCGGAAGCGTACCGCCTTTCGCCAGTAGGCCAAGACGCTGTGCGGGTCGTCAAGCTGCGAAGCGACATCAATTTGACCAGCCAGGGGGTGAGGCTTCATCCAGGGCTCTTTGACCTCCTTACCAGCCTTCTCTGCTTCTTCAGAAAAGCCACCGTATTTTGCTTTCCCATTCCATACCATTGGAACACGAGGATGGTCTCGCGCAAAATGTGCTAGAGAAGTGAGGGCCTTGTCCATGCCTTGGCCGTTGCGGTGTTGCCGGATAAAGTCAAGGTAGAGGCAACTGCTGACATCGATGTAATTCTCGAGCGGGTAGCCCTCCTCTGGGACGTTGATGGCTCCAATCTCCTGGCCCTGATATATGTACTGGGTGCCACTTAGACAGGCCTGTAGAAGAGCCAGCATCTTTCCGCTAGCAACTCGATGTTGAGGGCTGTCGTCTGCGAAACGTGTAATCGATCGCGCCTGGTCGTGGTTCTCTAGGAAGACTGTTGTCCAAGCATCGGTACCTTTGATCAGGTTTTGAGTCCGAGCAATGGCTTCCTTGAACTCGGGCAGCTGCCAGTCTTTGGGCTTTGCGTCGTACCTCAGTGGACGGTTGAACCCAACGTTCACGACGTCAAACTGGAAAACCATGTCGAGCTGCTTGGCTTCCGCACTCACATACTGCAGCACGCGAGCCATATCCGGCGTCGATGGAAGCTCACCAACCGTGATGGCGCCATATTTGGCCAGAATCTGATTCATCTCGCTGAGGAACTCGTGCATTCTAGGACCATTGCAGTACAGCATATCGGCCACTTGGTATGGCGCTCCAGGGTCCAACTCCGGTGCATCAGGCAGCCCGGGTGGCTTACTGTACATGTTGACGGTGTCGATGCGGAAGCCATCAACACCGCGTTCAAGCCAAAACTCCATTGCTGAAGCGTACAGGGCTTTGCGGGTGGCAGGGTTCTCCCAGTTCAGGTCCGGCTGCTCTTTGGCAAACAAGTGAAGGTAGTACTCGCCTGATTGCTCGTCCCACTCCCACACGCTGTCGCCGCCAAACTTGCAGCGCCAGTTATTTGGAGGAAGACGCTCGCCGGTGGGGGAATACTTGGCTGGCCTCCAAATGTACCAGTCACGCTTTGAGTTGTCTTTGCTTGAGCGGGACTCCTTGAACCAAGGATGCAGGTCGGATGTGTGGTTGATAACAAGATCAAGCATGATCTTCATGCCTCGAGCATGGGCTTCGCGGATGAGAGTCTCCATGTCCTGTAGAGTGCCGTAAGGCGGGTAGATGTCTTCATAATTGGAGATGTCGTACCCCATGTCCACCTGAGGACTGTCGTACATAGGACAGATCCAGACAACATCGACACCAAGACTAGCGATATAATCTAGCTTGGAGGTGATACCTGGAAGGTCACCGATTCCATCTCCATTAGAATCACAGAATGATGCCGGGTAGATTTGGTAGATTACGGCATGTTTCCACCACAGCTTGAGACGTCCAGGCACAGTCATGTTTTAAAGAGGACCTTGCAAAAAGAGAGAATAAAGTAAGAGAGAAAGGGGTTTGGATAAGTCCACAGTCGCCGAAAAGCGACTATAAAGCGAGAGTTGTCCAGTTGCAAAAGGAAAAAGCAAAGAGAAACTGGGCACTTTGCTTCGTTTTCGGTGAAGGAAAGGGGTGTAATCATTCAAGAGTCCCAGGAAAGCTTTGAAAAATCCCGAACCGGGCTCTTAAATCCCCCCGTGTGAGCCTTCATTGTCTAGCGATAACGGAGAGCTCGCTCAACAAGTTTATACTGTCAATGGAGAATGAACATGACCAAGAAGCGGGCTCCCCCAAGCGTCTGTTGATAGGAAGAACGGATGTTTACCGAGCTCCATATTGACTATTTTCGGAGTAGCATCTGTTGTCAATGGTTGATAGTTGGCCGAGCCCATCTTCGTATCGCTTGCCTGGCGTAGATACTTCCCAAAGAAAGGCGGGGGAAGTGTCTCGGTGGACAGGCTAAGGGCGCAAACTGTGAATCGAGGATAATGATTTGCTGAATGTCGGACCGACGAACAAGAAGAGACTCCCATTGGACCATTGTCGGCCCGATGCTATGCCCTTTCGGCATCAAGTTCTCCAGCCGCTCTGACACTTGACCTTTCAACTGTTGGCTCTTGCGGTTTGCAATGGGTCCTTGGCTGCGTTATTCCCCATTTTCGAGCACACTAGCAGCGTCTTATGGGATGGTAAGCAGAGATAATTCGCTCCGCGTGCCGTTGAAGCGAGGTTGTAGCCACTCCGATTACAACCTACTAGTATTTGCCCCTCCAACCTGTGCTAGAGTATGAATGAGTGGGGCCCGTTGTTGAAGCACGTATCTCGGACTAAGCAGCTTGGTCTCCGCGAGGTTGGCATCATGCCAGGTCTACCTTGCCGGCGAGACTGTCTTCCCACGATGTCTTTCTGGAACGACCAATTCTTGAGCTACTAGTTGAATCAGCTGAAAAATAGTTTCATCTTGGCGCTCAAAATCGAATCACCTGCTCGAGTTCAAGCTGAATTGTCGG